AACACGACAAGCAAGAAACTTCGATTCCCACGACCCCACTCCGACGACTGACAATTGATCATCAGAATAAGATACATGGTAAAAATTATCATCATGATTCTTACATTAGCATGATAATGACGACAACGATGATGATGGTGATATTACCAACGTGGTGGTTATTGTTAACCGTAGATTGTTTCGATCCGTTCACGATAACTTACCACTAGCTTTTCACAGTGATCTTTACTTTTCGAAAGCTTTAGTTTCTACGTTGGTATTACATCACAAAGTGTTCTAGTCACAGACATTATACATCTACGCACATACAAAGTATGACTGGTTCGGAGCTACGCGAGTGCATACGGACACGGGGCACAAGACAACTACGTGTAATGGATGCTTCGCCACTCGCCGTACCACGGTAGAGATCCCAAGATGCAGCGTCCGCTTTCGTTACTGACAGATGAAAAGGAAGACAGTAAATAAAGCGTTACACAAATTAGCGTTATTCGTAAACAAAAAGAACTCAGTAAATTCATCCCAAATTGCAGCATCGAACTATCGGCTGGCTTCAACCAAATGCAATTAAACTGCATGGCAACATCTCGAATTAACAAGTGTTCCCCTACAATGTAAGGTAAAGAAAACCTCTACAGACCTCGTAAGAATTTGACCTTTACTTGAAGCCCGTGAGGGCATGTATACCTAGTTCGTGTAATTGGACAGGCAAATTCTGTGATCTTTCTAGGACAGACGTAGCTCGGTCACACGAGATCCTACCTACCTTTGCCGCCACGTCGGATTCCGTTACCAGTCAAAGAAACGCAGGCCAACTCTTACGTACGTCCATCACCACCACTATTCTATATTGGAGTGAGGTTAGTCAGTACCAGTCAATTCAAAGGTAGTTACCCTCGTCAAACATAACAGGTTACACGATACGTGCTTTAATTCACGTTCGTCTTTGATAAAGGACGTTAGCAATTACAATTGTCTTACTACTCGCTTCCCACTTTTGCTATAAAAAGAATCTCTACCGTCCTGCTTGAGGGGCGTCAAATCTTTGCCGCAATGTCATTTACCTTTTTTGTGGTGAACGATCGAATACTGTTTATAACGGTTACAAAAATGGAACAGTCCAGTAATTGTGCAAAAAGCTTTTCTTGATATATCGTCAAACTCTTCTTACATTGCTTAAGTTACTTACTTACGAGATCTTTACAAAATTAAGTTTACTTTAATCTCTTTCCCCGTCCTCTTAGGTGTACGGATGGATAGTAGTTTACGAGACAGGAGGTTGCCTATTGTTGACTTAGCTAAAATCAAGCGCAATATGTAATATTGGCGTTGAAAAACGAATTCTTATCATACAGGAATCATGTGATGATTCATCATCGCTTCGGCATCACAAGTGGTTTTTGTTGCGCGCAGTGTTTGTTGCACGTCAATCTGCCCAGGGAACCCTTACATGTATGTACTTAATATGTAGTCTAAGTATAGGCATGTGCGATCGTTGGGTTTCGCGAACGCTTTAATTCCGTTCTCGACCATAGGGCTGCCCGAATGAAGTGTCAGGAACGTAAAATCACACAGTAATGCAGAATGAAGTATCAAACGATCCCCGAGGGCTGGTCGTCACGTACTCTGTACGTTACTCGTAAATCAACGGGACGATCGACCCTATTTGGACAGACTTAATTAGGTCCTATGCGAAAGTAGGCAATAACTTAACGCCTCTCAATATCGCTCAAAAAGCTCAGCTGCAAGCAGGCGTTCGATCATTTAAAAACTTCCAGCTCATGCGAACAATACTACTGGGAAAAAAACCATAGGCATTCAGAACCCGATATTTTTTGTACTTCTTTGCCTTAATCGTTGTTCAATATGAGCTTTTTCAATAATGTATACATAGTGGACAGTTTAAGATCTGTCTCTTTCGAATCCGTTCGTATAGCGGTAGGCCGTCCTTTTTCGTCGTTGAGACTTAGCATTGCTAGCACAAGCCGCTTTATTACGATACTCACCGTTAAGCGTCACTGTTCCTAACTAATATTTTAACAGGCATCTGGCCAAAACAACCGCAATAACGTTTGCTTATTGTTAATTGGTAACAAAACGTAAATAAATTTGCCGACTTTTGTGGCCGACAAACGTCTGGTTTTAATGTACGACATTCAGCTACTAACGCTAATATCTACACCTTTTATTTTTCATTCATTTTTGTCGAAAAAAAAGTAATAATAATCACGATAGTAATGTTGTGGCTAGATAACCATCGGCGTAGTTCGTGTAACAAGTCGTTTTGTTCCGTCTGATTCCATTAGCGTCTCATCCAGCAAATCGACGAGACTTCACAATGTCACCGCGATTGTTACTTGGAACAAACCAGCCTTCGCATTCTGAACTGCTCAAAGCAAGCGAAGCCGAGGCAAGAAAGTTCAAGTTTATATTTTCGCCTGATGTTGTTAGCGTAATCGTCGCCGCTTGGTGTGCATACACCGCTCGATTATTGCAGGTGCGGATCTGTTTCAGAACGCATAACGGGACAAATGGCTCAGTAGACAAAGCGTCTCAGAAAATTAATACAGGTGATTGGTCATGAATTGGATTTGTATAAATTACTTCTATTTTTTGTCTACGCCAGGACGGACTCGCAGGTGTCGCGTTAAAAATAAAAATCCTTTCAACAAGTAGTACTGCGACAGGCCTTTTTGCATTTGAGTTCAAGCTTTGGAGACGACTGAAAGCAAAGAACATTAGCTGAGGTTTGCCACGGAGATAAAACTAGTAGTTCCGATGATGGCAACAGGACTCGCTGGTCTAGAACCGGCGTTAAGGAGGTCAATTTGAAGTAAATCAAACGAAAGTTTTGAGCAGCTCAACCTTTCCCAAACACGACGCAAAGGGCTTGAAGACGTATTTCGTGATAGATTACCGTTGTAAATCTGGTGATCAAAACGGTTCATTAATTAAAATTAGGGAAAACTGAGTGTATCGCGCCCATGGCTGTTTTTCAATAAGCTTTTATCTTTCTCAAAAAGCAACTTAAACTCATGTCATTTAAACATTAATTACTAAACATTTGTTTCGTTTTGTTGTGAGGCAAAACTTGCCCAAACGCTATTTCTTCCTATCTGAGATAAATTGCTATACCAAAAAATACCGGCGCTTCTCAGAGCTTCCTTTTTCGTTCTATACGATGTACGAATAATCTTAATTACACCATTGGTAAGCATAAAATGACTGTATCTATCATCGTACGCGTACTTAACAAACGAATTATAAAAATATTCCTGGAGATAAACTGGCTCTATTGTATACATTTCTAGCTTCCCTATTTAACAAAGCATAAGAGCGTTGAGCTGTACAAATTAAGAGTTAGTGGTGCATAAAGCGTGCAATGGGTACATTGTACGATAAATACATAAAACCATCCTTTCCCGCTCCCTATAGTTCGAAGCAAGTAGCCCTACTATTTATCTATGCGTTTCTATGAATGTATTTAGTGTACTCTTGCCGTAAGTTACTAGCAGTTGCTTTTACCGTGAATGCTAACCGAACAGAAAAACGTCGAAGCCCCAGTGTCTGGCTATGGGCACGCGCTGACGAATAGTGAAATGTGTGGACAAAGGCTATGTCTGGCGCAACGCCTACTACGTCGATTGGCAGTTTCATTCAATTCAGTTGTTATCGTCGTCGTCGTCGTCGTCGTCGTCGTCGTCTCTATTCTTCTGATCAATGCCCCGGCCGCTTGATCAATCAGTCTGTGGTAGCCGTTCCCAACTTGGTCTTACTTCTCGTCGTTGCCACGTTATAGCAATCACACTAACGATTACCATTAACTTAACTTTAGCCTTAGGACCACTTTTACTGGTTAATTTTAGTACGTGTGGCATAGCTAGCCATTCTCGTGGTAAGACATCTGCGTATGATGTGCTAATAATGATATTTCTGCAGTACACTCCCCGTAGCCCGCTACTAACTGCACCGGGGCCAGATGTAGTACGGCAATAACCGCTCTACTTATACCCTATATAGCGAACTATAAGATAAACCTCTAATAGTACAAGTTACAAAATCTAGTATAATGTCATATAGTTGATACGGAAAACGGTATCTTCTTTTTTTTTTGGCTTTCATTTTGATTTAGTCAGACTTGTTATCTTTTACACCTTCGACGTTGTTGCCTCTGATTGTACTATAGTTCATTAATTTCTCTCTACGCTGCTCTGTAATATCGTTTGATATCTGCAATATCGATAGATTGACACCAACCGAGCTGGATCAATGGCACACGGTAATGTGTTTCTCCTTCGTCATTTACTACTTTATCGTTCTTCATATATTTTAACCTATTGTTGTTAGTACATTCGATCCAGCTACCGCTGGGAACGAATTTACCTTTCGGAGCAAACACATAATAGAATAATAGGAGCATCTTCCCAGCGAGCGAACGGATCAGACATCGACGGTAGGTCTAGGGCTGTTTGATATATATCTAATAGCGTTGTGATAGAAGTTTCAAACTACTACTACTATAGCTCTCCTGCGGGTTTAATTTGTGTGCTCCATTTACCTGAGAGGAATTCTAAGGCAGGTGCCAAATGGTTATCAGGATTGCCTACTCGGAAAATAGAGATCTTGCTCTCGTGCGACTACTTTCTCTCTATAGTTAATCACAACGAATAGGGTCATGACAGAATTTTCTCATGCTAGTATCAAGATGTTGTGTTACACGTAACTGTAGAAGCTCTCTATTATTCTTCGCCCGAAGAACTCTTACTGTCATCCTCGGGCGAGACTTATCCAAAAGCAAGTACCCTACACCCCATAACCCTAGCCAATTACATCTGGCTAGTTTATGAGAAATTTCAAGAAATACCATATTCACATTCATCAATAACACGGCATTTGTTCAGTTACCTGAAAAAGGAATATTTAGATAACTCACATTAACAAAGCACACCATTTTTCTGTCGGTCCGCATGATAGATCTCATAAACGAAGACAGGTGAACATAACTTTCATCGGTTTTATTAAAGTATTCACATCTCTTTGCGTATGTAAATCATCGTCCTTGCGACCGTCACTTTCTTGACACTTCATTATTTTTAGCGTTGAGTTTCAAAGCCGTTCTCCTATTTTGACCATTTTCTATGTGTTTGTTCCCAATTGTTTTAGCACTTCCTCATATCCCACTTGTTGTGTTCAGCCCGCGACAAAAACGTTCGAACAAAATATATAATAACAACCTCTTTACTGTACCAGCTGCTTCGTCCCAGTTCCTGACGATCTCCGTAGAAAGACTCGACGGGGGCAATTGTTAATCACCTTCTGAGTCCCTACTGAAATGTAGAATGCACTGTGTCCCGTATTACACTCTACCTCACTTTCCCACCATCGTCATCATCGTGGCTGCGTCGCTGTTCAAAAATACGCCTTTATCAATGCAGTAAACTCGGCTATTTAGTGCCTCGGGGTCAACTTCCGCGTCTGAAGAACGCAATGGCTCAAACCCCCTAAATGTCATGCCATGTTTTCTTTTTGATTCGCTATGATTTACTTAGCATTCACGCGACGACAATCCGATCATTCCTTTCCAACTTGCCCGTATTTTTTTTACATTTTACTTATTTCAGCTGAAGTCTTCTTCATGTCCTTCGTTTTGCTGTGTGAAATCCAAGTCGTTAGCCCCAATCTTTCCACTGATTCGCTGTACTCAATCGTTCTCAACCGATAATTAATCATTTCCTCTCGGTCCCGCTCTTGCGTATCCATTATCGTTAAGTTGTTACCATTCATTTTCCTCTTACTTCTATTATTACCATCAACCTTGTCAGCAGCTATCAGCTATAAATATTAACAACACTAAAGTATGCGACAAAATGTTAGACCGCCATTTTTCATTTCTCTTTTACCATTCGCTTGCTTCGTTCATCATTTTTATTCTCATTTACTCACTCGACATTGTGCCTTATCCTCTTGTCCGTTAGGTTATCCTCTTATGGTCATTATCATATTTTTATTATTACGTGAAACGCCTCAACCGCTCGTACACCGGCAAAATTATTATTGCCAACCTTGCCCACACTGTTCGACACTATCCAACAATACTTGGTACAGACCTTCTCCTGTAAGTGAACACCTCAAGGCCCTAACTCCGCCACCACTCTACTTTCATAGCTAACTTACCCCTCCTTCTATATATATACGTATATATGTATATATATATATATATATACGTATATATGTATATATATATATATATACGTATATATGTATATATATATATATACGTATATATATATATATATATTCGTATATACTTTAACCGAGTGCATCTATCCATCCGTGTCATTTACGATCTCCTATTTTTGAATACATTCCATTATGTATATAATCGTTACTATGACCATTTTTATTATAATTAGAGCCCACTCAGTAAAACTTCTCGATGCTTGGCACCCTTTTTATTTCCATATACTTCCCATTAGCTCTGGCTCAATCAATACAATCGGGAGTGATTCCCAGGAATCGTCATCTTCCGGTTATATCCAACCCATTCTGCATTATTTTATTGGTTGGCTTTCATTTTTTAATTAATCTTATTTTATCTCTTTATGATCCTCTCGTATCTATTATAGTCGTTATTATTATCCTTTCGTTGTCATCACCGATCAGTGTCATCAATATTAAATAATAACGTTAACACCAAGCCTGCACGCAGGAGATATATATCATCTATATGCACTACTTTACAAAAAGCTTTACACTGTGTTCTCTTTATATTTTGCATCATCCTTCCAATCCCTCGCTATCCTGCCACTTCGGTCCTTCGTGAAATCATCACCTTTGTTTGCATCGTTCATTTGCTTAATATTTTGTTTTGTTTTTGTCTTCTTTGCATGTTTATTTATCGCCTACCATAATAAGTTCATTATCATCTAGGCTTCGTCTTTACACTATGTGCTGCTTTACAAGAGTTTCGACCGTAAATCGTGGTTGTTCCTTTGCTATTTAGGAAGATAGGTAGGTTTATAATAGAAGACATAAGGAGTCTGTCACGGCAATTTTTTCCACCTCGCTTAAACTATCTGAATAATAATAATAATAATAAAATTCAGCATTATCATCATAATAGTAATACAGTAATAATAATAATCATAATATAATAATGCTTCTATTAATTCTTATTGAACTACCGCGTGATTTCCTGGCGCGGGTGGTCTCCCCCAGCTCCGGCGGGTGTTTCAGCTTGCCGTTCTTCGATGGGCCGGGTACGATCCTTTGGCCAAGTTTCGTCCTTTTTGCCCGTTGTGTTCGTCGTGGTCACGATACCATCTCTCCAGGGGTCGGCCTCTTTTTTATCAGATAATGTCGATGCAATTGTTGCTCCTGTTATTGTAGTTGTTGCTGTACAACCAGCACCTGCCGTACTCGCGACGTTTGCGGCAGTATCACCCGCCGCTGCTGGATGCGGCTGTTCTTCCCCGTCGGAGAGCTGCGCCAATAGCTGCCCAGCCCGGCTGACCATCTCGACGGCCGAGGCACTCCGTTCCAAAAAGTAGCCATTAGACGTCTCGTTGGACACCTGCGACCAGGGGGGCTGCTGCTGGCCACTGCCGGGGTAATGTTTACGATCCAGCTCGGTGCGGGTCCATTCGACGGCAGCTTGCAATCGCTGACGAGTCTCCGGGTCTTCGAACGCCTCCGGAACACGTGTTAACAACTCAACCAGGAACTTGACGCATTGGTAAGCACGTTTCTGGTAGTGGCTTTTAGCACGCTCAATGATATCGAACAGGGCTTCACGGTCCGGCCGCATGCCCTTGAGTATCATATTGATACGAATCATTTGCCAGGAGTCCTGTATTGTGAGGATATGCAGTAAAATATCGAGGTATGGCCGAACTTCGTACGTGCACACATAGGCAATACACCAGAGTAATTCAGTAAGCACATTCCGCGACATCTCTTGATTTTCCCAGCAGAGGTATTTCACTAGGTCAACGACCTCGTCCATGCCGTTAGCGTCTTCCAGCAGCTTCTTGATAAAGCTGTTTGGCTGGAATAGGTACTCGGCAATACGCTCATCCATGGGTGCCAAGACACTGCGGGCATACGGATTAGCTAGAAGTAAATTCAAGCTTCGGCTCTCGTCGGCGGCCGCCTGATATCCTGTAACGTCAAGGCAGTGTAGTAATGTGGCGATGGTCTGGTAGAGCTTTCCTAGTTCGGCATACTGGTATTTTATGGCCCCATCATCGAGAGCTAATCGTATAAATGCCAGTGGAACTTCACTCTTAATGAGGTGCATTTTTTCCCGGCTGCCCATGCCAGCATAGAGCGAGTAGAAGAGAAAATAGTGATTTACATGTCTGCCGTAATCGCACACATCCTTAGCGAGCAACTGCATGACGTCGCTCAGAATGCGTACAGCTAGTGGGTTGAAATCTGATGATTGGTTCGGTGTATCTTTCAATAGACAGTGGACTAGGTTAGCCAATAGGTGAGCGAAGCAATGACGAACCTCTTCCACCGGACATTCGAGTAGGTATGTGCAAATGATCCCGTGACCAGGCAAGCTTACGTTTGTCAGCCGCTGGCCAAACCAAGTACGGGCTTCAAGCGAATTGTTGAAGTATTCGATCAGGGTAGCCAACCATTCGGACATGTTACCACGAAGGACTTTTTTCGTGTGGAAATACGTACTAAAAAGGAATTTATCAGCCAGTTGCATACTCAACAGTGGCACATCTGGCACCTCCACAACCTGTGCTTCCTGGTGATTTTCGTCGCCACTGTCGTCGGTCGCAGCAACCGTCATTGTCAAATGTTTGGCATTGACACTTACCAAGTTCTTGACAAATCGGAAGAATTCTGCGGTGAACTGGACGTGCACATGTGTGTACTGAAGGTTCTGTTGCCACACGCTCATCTCTATGGCTGGCGGTAACATTGCTGCAGCCATCTCGTCAGGCCGTTCTATCCGCAGCTGTCGCTCTATTCGATCCGCTAAGTCGACACGTTCGTAGAACAAAATGTAAGCGTTCCACCATCTTTTCTGTCGACGGCATGACATCCGCTTCGAGATGTGGTCAAACATCTCACTGACGTAGTCACCTCCAAAGCATTGATTCTTCATTTCTTCATGACTTTCCATCTTGCTTTCACAAACCTCGCCGTCATCAAACTTGTACCACTGACCATCTGTTTTGATGTACGAATAGTAATGGCCGCCACTGGCTTGGCCGCTGTGAACGACGATACCGCTGAGCTCGTAGATAGTTCCGGCATTAGCTGCTTGCTCCGATCGGTCCGTTCGATCTGGCTCCACGGGCTCGCCTTCGCGCCTGGCTAGGCCCTGTACTGTGTACGGCTCCATGTCGAGGTCGCGAGGGAACTCGAAATAATCATTGAATTTGATAGCGCACTCACGATCCCAATCATAATCGAATCGCTTTAGCTGGATAGCCAGGATGGGTGGTAAAGATTTTATGCAGAGCCGTTTAACAGTGTCTACCTTCTTACTGCACTGCTCGCAATGGTAGGCATTTGGTCCTTCCAGGAGGTCGCCTTTGACGTACTGCTCGAGCGAGTCCAACAAGTTCGAATGATTGCGGATATCGATGTTCAACGTCGTGAAACTTTCTTCGCGGCTGTATCGATGTGGACAGCCTTTGCAGATTTTCTGATCGGCAAATGTTCCACCCAATACCTTGCTGAGAATCGTTGGCCAATTGAGTGATTTAAGTGCTTCATCAATAGAGTCAACGAGACAGTTGAAGAATTCCAACGCATCGTGTTGCTCGCGTACGTTCACCGGTTCTCCCCACAGTCTAAAGTGATTCCAAAACCCTTGCGGCACGTAGAATTGCTGTCGACTTTTCTCTAGAAAACCGAATATGATCATCACTTGTTTTAGGACACCAAGATTATAGTCCGACTCATTGCCTCCGTTGGTCAGATCAGATTCGGTGACAACGTCTTTCAATGAGAGAAGACCCTGTCGAATAGGCTTAATCATATAGAGTTGTTGTAGCACCGAATTCATGTAGCAGGTTGCGCCGGCATTTTTTAAGCCTACAAAGCCCTTTGGAGGCCGGGGTCCAACGGCGGGAAAATACTCCCATTCCGTTATTCGGGCGTTCTTATCCGAATAAAACATGTAACTGAGAATTCGGTTCGTTTCTGCTAGATTCGTCAAGCAACGACAACACAGTTCGACAACTAGGTCGAGAGCGGCGTTTGTGATCGAGGCATTGACGCAAACCGATTTTGCAGTTACACCTTCGGATGCCAGTAGCTGTCCATGGTTTCCATTGGGTTTCAACTTTCCAATCTCCATATGATCGGCGGCGTTTTGATCATGATGACCGCTCATCAGTTCGGGGTTTTTCAGTGCCACGAATGCTTTGGAGGCAGGAAACACAAAATCTTCGAGGAGCTCCCGGACAAAGTCATTGTGGCGTGCTTTTTCATCGCTCGATAAAAAGCGACATACGCTAATTGCGACGATTAAGTGGCCTTCGGTTAGCTGCGGGGGCTGTGCATCATCCTTTGCCGCCCGCAGCCAGGAAAGTTCTTTTTCGAAGAGGTCCTTAGCTTCAGAGAAAGATTTCAGCGTTCCAAGCAGTCGTCCGATGAGGGAGAAGTACTCAGAACTTTTCTCGTGATGCGTGACTACATCGCCATTTACCTGAGCATAGAGTGATGTGATAAAATTAAGCGGGCCAAATTGTTTCCCTAGGTTGTAAAAAGTGTCCTCAGCAGCTTGACGAACGGACGCGTTCGGGCACTTGAGCAGGAGGTAAAATATGTACTCGGTATTTTGTAGCACTCCGGACGTGATCTTAGCATCGCTAAGTAATCGCAGACTTGCAGTAAGCGTATAAAGTGACTCCTGACAGATATGCACGTTATCAGGTGAAATCTCGTCCAGGTTGGCTAAGCTCCAAGACGATTTGACCAGCGTACTCAAAATTGATTCCACGGCACTAGGGCATAGGGGTTTAATAGTAAATTGCTGACCTTGGAGTGCGGCTACCACTTTGCCAGCTACCGTCGACACTACGGAATCCTCGTGAGGTTCAGCAGCCGCCACCGCCGACGAACTGTTTCGTATCAGGATTGCTAAAAGAAATCTGTACAGTTTCAGCAACACCAACTGTACACTGTGCGGTAACTCAACGGGCTGAGCTCCCGCTGGTCTTTTCAGCAGCATATCGGCTAGCGCATGCAGAACACCGGATCGAATACAATTGCATTGAAGTGTTAACGCCTCCTCTGATAATGGATCGGTAGCCGGCAGCAGCATAGCATAGAGAACTTCCAGATTATACTGCAGTTCAGAAATCGAGCTGGATGCTTTGAAGTACGCTGCAAGTTTTCCGGGCTCCCCAGCCGCATATTGTTTTAATTGTGCCATGACGTCGCTGCTCGATGGTATCTGCTGCAGCAGCGCCCACGTCACATCGTGCAACTCAGGGATATCACAGAGGGTCAAACAAAACCGGACACGGTTCTCTTTGCGTGCAATCAACACGCCTGGTAGCTGGTTCTCGAGCAGCATCTGGGAGGCGTGCGACAGTTGAGGCGGCGAAGGAGACTCACTTTCGCTCGAGGATGACGACGCGGGCGATGACTGGTGAGCTCCAGCTTCACCAGCGCCAGTCGATGTCGTCAAACCGAGGGATTGGGTAGTCACCGCTGCCTTCGCGCGTAACGTCATTCTTGCGGTAGGGAAAATAGCGCCCATCGAGTTGTGCATTTTCTCACTCAGTGACTCCTCACCGTGGAACAGCTCTAGTTTGCCCATCTCCAGCCGATGCTCTACTTTACGTTTGAGGCTGAAGAGCGTTTCGTTTGTGTGCGTTGAGACGACAATTTCATCACTAGACCCGCTACTGTTGCTAGCGCTGCTCGTATTGCTGCTGTTTGCTCCTGTCGAGTTGTTACTCGTTCCGCTACTGCTCCATATCTGAATCGTAGCGCGCATTTCTCTACCGCGTAGCGCCCGATGAAGCGGTAGGTAGAGTCTTTCAGGGTAGTCGCCATCACATTGTTGTACATACTGCGTCAGCAGACGAAGCAGACGACGCATCTTGCGCAGTTCGATAGCCCGTTCGGACGGTTGTAGGCGCTTCCATGCACCATAAGCCAAGCGGATTCTGTCAAAACAAGTCGTGACAAACTCCTCATGCAACGCTGTCCGTGCCTCGTGCAATTTCGGTCCGAGGTTTGTCGTTGTGTCTCGTAAAATACCGGCCGCTCGGGCACTTACTTTATCGGGGGCCAATAACACGACCTTCCATAGGTAATCCTGGCCGACGAGTTCAACGTTGTCGACGTAGACAACATTTGTGCCGTTGGGAGAAGCGCTCATGCCACTTTTCATTGTAACAAGATTTCCTTCTTTAACGTTAACCATTTTGAAAAACCGATGAAAGCAATGAATACCGCTTTCAGTCAGTTGACTGGGATCGAATTTTAGCACGTTCTCCTCAAAAAACTGTTTGTTAATATCCGGATCAAGGTCAGGTTCGTCACCCATGAGCTTTGCGAACCAGTTAAAGCAAGCTTCCCTGTCCGATGGATAGGCGCCATTCTCGGCGAGGCACTTCCAAATTTGTGTCGCTTGCGGTGCGCATAACCACAGCTGGCCATCCTTCAAAAGAAACCGAAGAAAGCGTAAACGTTCGTAAACGTTGACATTGTGCGGGTACCTGTGGCCCTCTCGAGCCACGCTCGGATCAGGGTGCGTGGTAACAAACTTCTTTGATTCCTCTACATAGTTCACGAGGTTCGTTGTAACGAGGACAACCAAGGTGTGCTTATTTTGCAACGCAGAGATAATGTCGCTACGGGCTGGACCCTGACTGGCTCCGCGAGGCACTAGTCCGTGAGATGTCTGCTGTTGCGTCTCTTGATAGAGAACGCAGATCTCACGGATGTGCTTGAGGGCGGGAATCACCCAAATGTCGTTGTTCCGTAATTCTTGTACGCACTCCTCGAGCCAGTGCTGCTTTTGCGCCGAACGGTCCTGACAACAGCTGTAGTCGAGAATTTTCAGGTGGGCTGACAGCGCCAGATCGACAATCTCATTAGGGACCTGCTGATTGTGGGCTAGACCCCAGAGCAGCTGCAGTACCTTGTGTGCCATCATTCCATCCTTGTCGTCTTCGGCCAGCCGCCGAATCAGCTCAATGAGTTTTTCCCGCTCTTTCTTCGTCTGAGCTGTCGCCCAACTCTTTTTGAAGCACGACTCGAACACATGCTCAAGCTGCTCAGGCGAAAAGTCCCAGGCTAACTTGGCGAGGAGGTCATGGATGTTCTTGACGATGGCCTCGTGGCGTGTCGCGCCGCTCTGAGAGTCCCATATAGCGTCGAGGTCGCTTAGAGTGAGTGCTTTTTCCTTTATCATAAAGCGAAGTATCTTTTCGAGCTTTTCGACATACTGAGGCTGGTGCAGCGAATCACGAAGTACAATCGATAGCACATTGTTATCCCGGATCCAGCCTACCATCTTGTTACTCGTAAGATACTCAGCATCCGACGCATCTACGCATCGCTGGCCATGCCCACTTTGTCGATAAAGCATAACGTTCGTTATAGCTTTATTCACCTCGTTAAGTGCGTTCATCTTCCCGTTGAACGACGATATTTGCAGGAGCTTAAGTAGCATTTGTAGACGAAACTCCTCAAGCCGTTCGACCATGGCCGTTTGGCCAGCACACGACGCTATATAACGGAGCCATCTGACAAGCATACTAAGTGAGTCATTTTTTGTATCCTTTTTGAGCTGTTCGTCCGAAAATTTGTGCAAGTACACAGGCACTTTCTCAACGATCGGCATTAGATATGTGCTAATGGTTTGTTTCGTCAAAAACTGGCAGCATTGCCCAAAAGGCTTGACCAGCAAGACGATGATACTTAACGGCAACGGCTTATCTACGCTCGTCTCTTCGAAACGGCGTAATAACACCTCAAAGCCACCAAGGGCCCCGAAACGATTAATTAGGTTAACCAGCCAACCTTTTGGTGATCGCGCGTCACCGCTTTTTGCAAATGGCGTGCTTTCTTGTGTGTCCATTCCGCGTGATGCGTTGTAATGATGAAATTTGTTGTCCGGATTGAACAAAAGAGCTAACAGGTCAAGAAGTTCGGGACAATTCGAATCCAACTTTGCCACGCATAGCTCGATGAGCAACACGCAGTTGTGATAAATACATTTATGAATCTCGAATTTCCACCCGGATACTGCCTCGTCAGTGAGGATCTTCACGAAAGACGTTGTCAAGCCGTCCCGAATAAACCGCATACAGAGCTCGTTCTGTTCATCGATGCCTCTCCTTGCCAAGCGCAACGTTGCTAACAGCAACACCTCTAGTTCGCCACTTGGCAACACTGGTACCACCCACCGAGATCTACAAGAGCAGATGAAACCATGATTAATCACAAAAACATAATAATGTATAGAATATAGCTACCGAGGTATACGATTAATCATTATATTGCAGGGGGGTAGTGATAAAAACACAAACAATTTGCATCCACGATCTAGTTATTGTAGGTGCGCGGACATGTCTTACCCACGACGACAGTGAACCAAATAAAGTGCGTACAAGTTTTATATCTGTTTATAGGACATCATACACAAAATGCGATATACCATATTGATAACACAATTGTGATCGTTAGAACGAAACGAGCATGCCAAGTCGACTAATGTATAACCATAACTGCCACAAAGATAAACTTTGCCAGCTATTGCCGTTGTTTTTAACAAAAGTGTTACCATGTTATAAATATATTTACATTGCTCCATAATATAGTATCTTTATCCTTACCGATTAATCATCTCTTCGAGTTTTTGGAGGTCATCTTCTGGGAATGAATCTGGGTCAACCAGCGCTGCCTCTTCCGAGTGCTCTTTGTCATTGTCCGCACCGTCCTTGCCATCCTGTTTACCGTCGCCATCCGACTTCGAATCCTCTGCGGACTGTTTATCCTGCACCTCGCCGGTGTGCGACTGCTGTTGCGGCGCATCATGGCTTTGCTGGGGTTGACTTTGCTGCTGGAACTTCTGCTCCTCATCGTTCGTTTGCTCAGTTGAACACGGCCTTTGCTCTGGAACAGCCGGATCATCTTCGTTGATTGCGTTTGGACAAATTTCCGTAGGCGCTAAGATATTGAAATAGTAAACAAGACTTGATAATGTTAAAACTGTTTACAACTGATCGAGCCACCTGCTACCTAAAAGGACGCATGCCGCTTTGCATTTATTCGTCGAGAACGAGCTGCAGGCGGTCATCTCTAGTTCAAACGTAGTTAGGATGTGTTCAACATGATTACTCTATAAATTGTGTCTTGGTTTTCTGGCTCAGTAGCGAAAGTAGTAGAAATTTTAAACTAAAAAAAAGCGTAGTGAGAGATGACTTATTTTAGACTGCAATGGCAGCGATAAGGCAGCATTTTGAATTTCGAATAAAAGAAAGACCCAGGGATTTATCCACCGTTAAAGGCGGTCGTTACTGAGATTATTACCAATGGTAAGTAGCTGCGTGCTAATTGACATGCGAGCATCTAATTATACGCCACTTCATCATCCACTTCATCGTACCAAACCAAAAGCAATGAAGGATCCAGTTTCCGCTAAGAGTGAGTATATTCTAATGTCTAAAGACACGTTAGTCGAGACAACGCCTGACTGCGCCTAGACACCGATAAAAGATAACAAGACCCGGTGTTCCATTGTTTGCTTAGTTCATTTTTGTTTATGCCTTTATGATAGTACCATTAGTGCCAATATACAACGAAGCGTGCATCCGGGCAGCATTTCGTTCGAAATTGCTAGTCCGTTGCAAATGAAAGGGGCCAATTACTTTATCATTGCGAATAACTGACCGATTCTCTCATCACTGCGAATAATTGATAACGAAGATTCAACAAATTTGAGGTTTGTCTTCGTCAATCATTCTTCAGTGACCTAATTTGCTCGACGTGCTGGTTGAGAGTGCATTATATGTGATTACGCACAGATAAACGGGTAACAAGAAAGTACTTGTGAACTGGAGAACAACACAATCAATGTTCACGAAGGAGCACGTTTATAGCAGGTATGCAGTCATACGCAAATCAAACTGTTTAAACCTATATACGGCAGTCCCATAGAAGTTGCTGTGGTAACATCCAGCTAATAATGCGTAGGACGTCATATATTTCGAAGGATGCGTACAAATATTGAGATCCGCCTGCATATATAGAACAACATAATAAAGGTCTATTATGATTAACATCTATCTGCAGGTTCACTAAGACTCGATTAAAAGTCAACAGCAGGCTGCGGTTATGCGATAGGAAGAGTCGTTCTACACCACCATTAAATCACCGTTAATAGATTTACTCTACCGAGTAACGAGCTACTAGATTTCTCGAACAGATTTCTCGCGTCGGAAAGTTCCGTAAAATTGGCCCGGTAGGAACAGGGTAAAACAAGGAGATTGGTTTACCTAAAAGTCCGCGTAGGCAGCAACGGCGATTCATAACAAAATTTTGCCCGGTTACGTTAGCTGCAAAAAGCGAATAGTCTTCTACTGTAAGAAGTCCACCTACAAACTAGTTCTTGCAAACAGTATAAAGACTGTCGCGCACTCACTCGTTTGGACAATTTGATTAACTTAACGAAAGTCTTTCTCTGATTTAAAAAGATAGTAGGGGCCACGCCGTGATTTTTCCAAACACGTTTTCATATTCTGCACCGATATACTGTTTCAAATTCACGCAGGTACCGTCGAAGTACGCTGCCAAGCTGCACTCGAGTCTCATACTTTACTAGTTGTTTTAATATCATCATTGAACTAACACTAAATAGCAAATGATTCAAGCTGGTCATTTTCTGAGTGTGACTTCCTTACGGTCGGATTCAAAAACATCGTCCATAGTTGTATCTCCAGCAGTTGCCATAGCCTTCCAAACTGTATGCAGGTTTATATCACACGCGGACCAACGCGACAGGCTGTGAAAGCGAATAGAGTCCACATTTGGAATTCGAATCCCTCACATCGATCACTCATGTCACAATGCAGATGGTGCACGTTTGGCTGTGTGAACCGGCATTACCACAAAGTATGACTTAGTCTTTCACGTAGCACATAGAAAATCTAGTATGAAGCTATAATTATACGGAGGACGAATTGTCACTCAGATAAGGCAGAATTCTACAAGCGAGTTAAACACAGTTGCCGCTCAGAGAATACAAGCAAATCATGTCCAAAACCCCAACATTACAACAATACGATAAACCATCGATTGCTTCCATGACAGGAACAGTAGCAGCAGCAGCAGCAGCAGCGGTGACGGCGGCCGCAGCAGCAGAAGTAGCAGCTGATGCCACCTTATCAGTGTGCTTACACGTATGTCTAATGTAGTAAGTGTGCAGGCAAGATGTGCAACGTGCGCTCAGAACGAAGCCGCAAGTCCACTTACGAACAAAGCATAAAACTAACGTCCGTCGACGATGGTTGAAAACAAAGCCGCAAATAGGGCCACAAGCGTTATGGATCAGCTGAACAAAACAAACATTGACCTTAGTGTTGTTATACATAGTTCTTAGCGCCAGCTGAGGAAGACTGAATAGCGTCTCCTAGCTTGAGTAAACACCATCGAATGTGCGCGACGCTCGAACTTGATTCTCAAATATGGAGTATCATGATTATTGATTTTGGCCGTAGTTTTCAATAGCCACCTCATTTGCTATTGAAAACTCCGAAAAACGCCCGAAGGTATCATTTAACGAAAAACTGCCATTCATGGAGTAAGGAAGAGGAAACTTATCTTTGTTCGAATTTCTCCTCGTACCAACACGATTCATTAGCGTGGATTTTATTTATTGCATTTCAAGCATCCAGATGGATGTTGTGTATCCTATCAAAATCATGGTAAGAATTCGTTGCCCATACCATGCCCTGCCTACTAAACGAGAAAGCAATGACTGCTTCTTGAAACAGACGAAGTTTTGGTAAATTTTGAGCCTTTCTGATCAATGAAACCTATGTGTTTTACAAGAAAAAAAGTAACCCGTCAATTGAGCTCAGTACATTAGAGCAAAGGAAAATTAAAATCAATTTGAAAATATAAAATTATTCTCTTGATGGCAGCAAATTATTTTGTAAGATTGTGGTGTGTCAACGCTGACTGACCTCTTTGCATAGTTGAAAACATAGTTTCTCTTCTGAGCTAGATATGAAGCAGTACGCCATGAGCCAGCTTTGTGGCAGACATTTGCGATTTGACAAGCTAAATATAGTTCGTTTACTCAACTTTTAAAATAGCAGCGCACTTCTAGACCATTATCGTCTCGACACCCCGGATAATCATTAATTACTCTCTAATCGAGTTCAAGCTAAAGCCGACCCAACGGACCCGTGCAGATTTGTAAGGTACAGAGGTCACGCCAAACTTTCGTGTAAATAAAGTTATATATCGTCTGTCAGCACCATGATTTTCGACTGGAATTGTTGTCATTGAATCATGAGGAAAGTTCAATGGAAGGCCGCTGGTAAGAATTTACGAAGGGAAATACCTTTGCCAAGCTCGTGAGCTTGATCTTAACAAGTAGAATTACATTGTTCAGCAATGCGGTTCGCTATAACAACGGAAGATGCAATCCGCTAGATTTAGCCCAATGAGTCTTGCTTGACTCTCAGGACAGTAGGAGCAAATAGCTAAGTGCATTGCTTTACGAAACAGATATTCTTATAAATAAAAATTGCTAGACAAGTACTTATTGTGAGTATACGATTCGATGTATTAAGTATGTGTATTGTGTGTTGCAATAGCCTTGCCGTTCAGTGAGGCAAGCTTACCTGGCTCGTCGCTGGATCCTATTACGACCGTCATTGCGGTACGTGGCGGCCGGTTACCCCAAAGAGGAGTAACTCTTCTCTAGCACACTGGAGAAACTTTTCTGTTACTGGATTCAGTCTTCATTACTGTAATAATAAGAACAAACACGAACCAAAATTTGTTCACATTTAGAATATAACTACTAGGCAATAGCTAAACTTGGTAGCGCCATATACGTTCAAGCCACACATGACTTTATATAACAATAATCATTATCATAAACATATGAAAACGTCTTTAGCTACAACCCAAATAAAATAACGATACAGACACACACACACACACACACACACACACACAACACACACACACACACACACACACACACACACACACACACACACACACACACACACACACACACACACACACACACACACACACACACACACACACACACACACACACACACACACACACACACACACACACACACACACACACACACACACACACACACACACACACACACACACACACACACACACACACACACACACACACACACACACACACACACACACACACACACACACACACACACACACACACACACACACAAACACACACACACACACACACACACACACACACACACACACACACACACACACACACACTAACACAAACATACACACACACACACACACATACGTCTTTTTACTCTCATTATATTTGTTGTTTAACTACGTAAGTATACCTGTCTTGTATGAATTTATTAAATTTGAAATTTATCTAACTGTCATATTTCTGATATTTTAAAATATCTATCCACATATGATATTGATTTTATGAATATCTGGCGATTAATTTAAAAGCATTGGGCGTGTTGAACCCCCTGTAAGCGTGTGACCATCCGTAGATCCATGTGTGTATATCTTATTTTAGCGTCATTTTGTTGGTCATCGTGAGGTGTTACGATGAACTGCTACAGATCGTAGTCCACCCACTTCGTCATTATTTTTCGATCAAATCTCATGCATATACATCAGAGCTGATCACAGCCGTTGCAGTCATACTAACGAATGCTAGGGCTGAGCTGTCCATAAAGATGTCTCAATATATATATATATATAGAACAAAGAATAGAGTCAATGTCGAGATTAATTTTACATCATTAAAGAAGTTCTGTTCAGATATTTGCAACAGAATAATAATATGAATTGTCAAGACGGCTCGTATCCTTCTAAGATGAGGCTGTCTTCTGAATGGCAGAAAATCGATGAAAAATGAAGCTGCCACTAGTTAAAAGTGATATACAGAGGTTTGAAGACCATGATCGGCAACAGCGTACCACGGATGACGCAGGTAAGGAAACTCTCATGCGCACGAGTTCCATTGAGGTTGACACATTGGAACACTGACAGCGTTCGTATAATACATGTCAATAATGTCAACATCGATTGCGACCACCACCATGATGATAAGTGATCTAAATGATATGCAATTAACGGGGCGTACGATCAGCATACAACCATATTGTGTCATCGGCAGCAGCGGTTACTTGAGTAGATGCGCTGCAGCGATCATAACGGTAGATGTACTATTTGATATCGACCGTACGATCCTTACGGATGAATTGCAGGACCCCTCCACAGCACAGCTCACCAGCTGTGCAACGTATACATTTCTTGCAAAAGGTACGCACACTCCTGGTAACTAACAGTACTGAACGGCCATGAATCAACGGTAGCTGTATAACACACGAAAACAGCCAGCCCGACTAGGCCGACCGAACGAGCAGCTGCGGAGGGGGCAACAGTGGCTAAGACAGCAATAGCAACATAATGAGAGTACCCACTGCATCGAATGGGAACCGTAGCAGTGCCTGCGTCTACACTCGATGCTGTTTTTCTGGCCGGTTGCCCTACTGGGACAAACTCGTTTCAAAAACAAACCACCCTTGGTTATATGGCCGCTTATTCGGCCTGTTTCTCACTACTTTATTTGGCTTTTTCATTCCTTCGATTTCGAGCTGTTACGGTGATGATAAAGTTACGGGAATAATTCGAAGAGTATATGCACACAGCAAACGGAGGGGTGTCACACCGGCGACGTCGACGACGTTGTCGACGGCGATGTGGTAACAGTCAAGTGCACAGAAAGGAAAACTTCCGGCATTATTCCCATTCTGGTGGCAATGGAGAGTTTTGCTTGTAGTCGCAACTGCTGTGAAGCGTTAAACTGTCCCGGCGCTGTTCGAGCTAGAAGAAACTGAGATAGCTAGGGTGGTCTAGCTGTGAATGAGTTCACTGCTATGGTGTTTGGACTACGGGGTGCGTATGTGTCTGTCTACGTCAAAAGACACAACAATACTGTTTTTTTCCAGGATCACCAACCACGGTTTACTGTGGGTCCGTCAAGTTGGTACTGGCACGTGCTTAATCAGCCGCCGTATCATAAGCAAATCGATTACGGAGCCGAAACGACAAAATTGTTGTAGGAACACAGAACACAGCGGTACTCACTTACGGTACAACTACTCACAGCGGTTAATAACACGCATAACAGAAACCTCGACTAGTGCCAGATACACTCGAGACACGACACCCACACCGCGGTTAAGGCCTAGGGTGGACATTGAAACGAACGTACTCAGTATTATATTATGAAGGTTTTGCCCCTAGGATACCAGCCAGCCATCGATTCGCGTCGCACGCCTATGAGACACGAAATAAACCACTTGCCTAGCGTCAAAAATTTGTAGAAATTGCACGAATATATATATACACACACACACACACACACACACACTATTTGCTTGTGTTACCCTTCGATATTCTTTGCAGCTCTCGGCATTGTTTTGTTCTGAGCGTCGGGTATTCGCAGACCCTGCACTATCCGTAAATGGTGACTGCATATGGACATGCTTCGGACATTGACCTAATAATAAAGACTTAAGTACAACGTGTTATGAATGCAGTCATTTCCTCATTAGAAACTGCAATCAAGAAAAGCAAATGACAGAGAAATTAACTTCCAGGACAAACTTTCTCGTTGCAACAAAGATTGCCCAGCAAAGGAACACGACGTGTGCCATCTGACGGCGATTTAAATTCTTGGCGCGAAGAGGGAGGAGCCCCGTGATCGCAGTCGTACGAATATCGAAAAGTTGTGTGGACGTTAATTAGCCATACCTGGAAGCGGTTTTAGGAAATTGAAGCGCAAAACGTATGATTCCGAAAATCGTAGAAACTTAGAATATTGCACACACACATGAACGTAACACATAACGGTGATAGCTCAGCTCGAATCTCAATTAGTACAAATCACATGTTATTTACAAGCATCTCTCCAGTGTCCAGCCCTTACAACTATTAGAAAACGCATGAATACTACATCTAAAAATCGCCAGTTGATTTCCGAGCAAGTTTATTGGATGTATCGCTAAACTTCCAATAAGAACTTGGTTCCCATTTTACCGATACACAATTTACTAAAATAATAAATTCGACCTCTACGGACGCTGCTCTTGACGAACATCATTGAACTTTAACGGCATAGCTTCTTCCATTTCATACGTGCTTATTTAAAACACTCAACCCCATTAAATGGCGACGATATTAAATAAAATCACAGATTCTCCTCATTCTGGAAACCGTTTTGCCGATATGGACGGCGCCCAATGAACCGTTGCTCTCCATGCCGTTGTCGAATGGCCCATCTCCTGCTTGAGGATAATCTCTTGGATTATTGAATTTGACACTTTCTTCAATCAGCCGTTGAGCAAGCACAAAAAACGCTGACGTGACGTTGCTTCCTGTGGCAGCAGATGTAGACATGAACGACATGTTATGAGCATTTGCCAGGGCACGGCCTTCCGTATTTGGAACCTACGAAAATATAAAAAATATCAGTCGGTCAATACCTGAGGACGGACGTTCTGTCTGATATATAATGATTACAATAGAAGATCGCTTGAAACAAGTGATGAAAATTTAAAAAATAGCCTTTGTTTTAATTTCACTGAAAAATAAAATAGTATCTTTACAGATCTGTGAGTTCTGAAATTATTGATATGGCGCATGAAACATGTTCTGAAGCGTTCTACCACTGGAGGAAGTACAGTGACATCTTTCTACTAGTTTCTTCATTCTGGGCGACAAGTTCCATTTTCTACGAACGGTTGTATTGTAAAGTAATAATTACGACGCGTATGGATGCCGCATTTATCCATTCTAGGCTGGAAATTAACCCGTCTCTCAACTTGAAGTTGTTGCAGAACGGAAGAGCTTGGGAATTTCTTACTTTATATACCAGCCTCTACGCAAAAACGGACCATTTGCGTTTATGACAGCGAGCGATTAAATCGTCTAGTATGGTAAAACAAAAAGTAAGACAGCCAGAAAGCTTATAACCAGGGTTTGTGACCTCAGTCAACACTTGCTTAGCGGTCTAGGCTGTATTGATTATTGCTCTAGAGAAGGCGTTAGCAATAATCGAAGATTATTGCCCAGCTCCACATGCATAGTTTTGAATACACAGTCCAAAGAGGAACTACTTAACACCTACCCTCTAGGCGTTCATCTCTATTTATCGAGCACCTTAATATATAATAGATATGACCAATTTAACTTGTAAAAAAAAGCGATTTAGAGAAAGTGTCATTCAGTGAATGTTTAGGTCGCAATTGTTTTTTTATCAACCTTATGCAATTTTAACATATGTTTAATGCTAACGCCATTTTACATTGAACTCCAATAAGAATAGATGGTTTTTTTGACATTTCGAGTGGTATTAGAACGTCAACGAAAACGCAGTTCGACCGTTTCTTCGTTTATCATTCTACAGTGATCTATACAGCTTCCCTGAAGTGTCCTATGACGGTAAACACATGATCTAAGAAACAACTGAATTTCTCCAGATAAAGAATATATGGCCTTCGGCATCAGTTGCACACAGAAAACATTGTTTTCAACAACTTCAACATTCACACCTTATAATAGCGCAGTCGTTATATGATCTAATTTTATATAAATAAAGGAACGTGAGATCACGATCAAACGTTCCAAACATCAATATCTAACTAGAATTTGCAACGACAAAACAAATTCATTTGTATGTTAAGAAGCCTTCTTGACTGAGCATTAATGCAAACATTCAGGTAATGCTTACTACTCCCAAAAATCACTGGCCTATTCTTAGTAAGGGCGCCGAGAGGTTCAGCCAATGCAACCAATAGCCCAGTGTTTTACTGAAACATTTTCCTGTTAATTCAGCTTCATACGAACAGATCTATACAACGGTTATTGGACTGGTGCGAAGAAATGAACACGACACAAAACAAACAGCGCTTCCTACCGAAACAAACTTTTCGGATAGGGTTTTCGATTATTGAGTTCGCATTGATTACGATTTCGAGACAAGATTTTCATTAAAGTGAAAAGTGGTGAGGTAAACCTTTGATGGTGACAGGTCCGCTTTGTTTGCCACCAGGACTTTAACGACGGGCTCCGTAGCTCGCCGGTTTAATTCCTTCAACCAGCCCGTTAACCCTGCAAAACTCGCCCTGCTCGACGCGTCGTACACCAGCAACGCGCCATCTGCGCCCCGAAAATACGACGAAGTGATACTCTTGAATCGTTCTTGACCTGCATCGACAAACGACACCGCATTAACAAGCGCACTATGTGATGAAATCCTCGCGACGCGTGTGGGTCTGCTGCTTTATGTCGAAATAAACAACTTACTATTTAGAGAGCGACTTGAAAAGAAATTAGTTTTCCCGAACCACATAGGCGCCCACACGAAGATAGAAGAAAAACGCGAAAGCTTTCGTACTGAGCGACTAAATAGCACGTTTGACTCGGCTGCAGCAGCAATAGCAACGCGACGCTGAACACTCAGTGACACATTTTTAGATTAGCTGAATCAGATAGACCAACGACTATGAGAAATATGATCACACGTACCGGCTGTGTCCCATATGTGGAGAGTGATCCTGTGATTTCCTATACGAATTGTTCGGACTCGGAAGTCCATTCCAATGGTGGGTCGAACTTCTGCTGGGTTTGCCCCTTGTTCGGTGTAACGTCGCAGGAGACTGGTCTTCCCCACATTCGAGTCACCTAGTAACAGTATTTTGAAGTGAGCCTCTGTATTCGAAGTCGTTTTATCGCCTCCTTCGCGAACCCCCCCTCGCATCGTAACCGTGCTCATTTCGTCGTTGTCTTGACATATACTAGTTCATTCTTGGATGAAAGGTGCTCAAAATGAAACAACTTTTCCTATATGAAGTAAACCGGTGCTCCGTCCCATAGAGGAAAGCAGATCCTGTCTTCTTTGAGGACAGACACGGATTTAATTTTTGGCTGACTGAGACGGTACACGTTGAATTTATTGATTTATTAATACATGTCGCGTCATATAACGAGTCTGCGCCTGCGGTCCTGGCTCTTTCAAACTCCCATAAGGCCCATATTGTCCTGTCCCTCCGTTGAAAGTTTCATTGTTCAAACAAACTCGTTTTTAATGTCATCCAAATCATATGCAGACTTATAATGAAAAAATACAAGTAAGTTTGAACAATTAAATAACTGATGATAGGTTACTCCCTTTCGGACCTGTTGTGCGCCAGCTTGCCTGGAGCAATGATGTCAGCTAGTAAAATCATGCACGCTAATTTTAAGTAAAATATGCTGCAGTAGACGACGATAAAGTTGTATGTTCTCCTCTGGGTGAGGCTGTTGTTTAGATAATAAACCTTCAGTCATTTTTCCTATTTGAGAACTACAATTCATGAAAACGCTTAAAGGTATGCACGAACGAACGAGGTCCGTTTACCGCCGCTACCAAACTTTAGCCGTCTCTATATTAACGTAGCGGTAATGGTGATGGTACACTAGAAAAAAAAAGTGTACCATAGTCCATGAAGCTATTGTACGTTGTAAACGATAGCTATTACGCGATGTGCGCGTGGCTTCGTGCGTCTGCATTCCGTTTTACGTAACGTATATAAAATATACTATACGTTTCTTTACGTGCGACAGGGCGAAGGTTTATTTAATTCAGTTTAGTTACTAAAATGCAATGTACTATCTGGCGCCAGATGAAACATTACTAAGCACCTAAGACAACAATGTTTTTCTGATTTAATCTTACTTAATAGTATATGTTATTGTCTGACAGACAAGCTGTATGGTATCTACGATAGAAATTGCAATAACCAACTGTAAACGTAACGAACTGCCAACAAAAAGCCAGCAGAATCGAACTTGTAGCGTCTGTGGATCTTTTTCTATGGTAGATGCATACCGCTACAGGTAACTTAATGTGTAGTAGAAAACTTACTCGTTTCAACGACAGTCTGAAGTTTTAGGCAGCGAGGTTACGTGTTCAAATTGGATGATCAAGATCGTGCTTCGTTTTGCTCATGGGTCAAGAACGCATATGGGCAACACAGAACGAACACTGATGCAGCCAGCAGCAGCAACAAAAACCGCTTGTCTGTTTTGTTATCGCTATCAGCGATGACTAAGTTGTTTCATCTGAGCAAGTTACATACTTCTCTGTGAGTGCACTTAGAGCGGGGAGAGTGATCTCTAGGCCGTTGTATAAAATTAATTTTATCTTACAGCATTTAAATCAAAAGCGGCAATAGACTTACATTTGCAGTAATAGCCTGTTCTATATGTTATTTGAATTGTGTTCCTATCAACTAGTAAAGTGTCGACGGCAAGGTGATCTATTTGTTGTGTTGTACATATATATATATATATATATATATATGAAAACGTAACGTAAACGAGTTGAGAAAAACTCTTTTGAAAACTCTCGAAGATCGCAGTAATTAAATGTCCATCCACTACTCAATCCTGGATTGCGTTGTTCGCTTGCAGTGAGAAGAGAACTACGCAGAACTTAGATTTCTTCAACCTCTTACTAACTGCTGTCGCTTGTCTTTAGCATAAAGGCTCAGGTTTTAAAGAATGGTCAGCATTCCCTATTGAGGAATCGGTCTTTCACGCAAATAACGATATAGAAAATTAACGAAGAAAGATGCCGCGTTATAGTTTACGCCCATGTTGATTGCGATTCCCATTTATATAAAGGTATAGCAATTGAAGCATTACTTTTACCTTTGTACGAAGCTAGTTGATTATAACGTCTAATGTAAGTTGGTCTCAATTGACCATTTTTATTTTATTTTGCCACGTTTTCAATAACAGCGCATGATTCGTCGATTGGTCAACTAGAAAACCGGAACTCACTTAATCAATATTGGGGTTGGCTTTACACGAATGGGACTGTTTGTGTGACACCTATGAGTTGACGTCTCATAGGTATCACACACGCGTCGTAAGTGGCGGCCATATAATAAACGGTCTTTTACACAAAACGATGGCTGACATGAATTTTTGTCGATTTGTGCGTCGCGATAATATGGACCAACCACAACACATAATTGAATGAAAAAATAATAAAAATCTAAAAGTGATTTATCGACCCTTAGACAATTTAAGAGACGTTGACCTCTATCAAATGCTTTGGAATAACTATCCTGGAGGGTATACTGTGCCGGAAGCGTAAATAGACATTCAGTCACCATCTAAACTAAGCCCTAAGGCTGGGTTGATAGGGGCATTTGTTGCTGCCAATGAAATAAGTATTGTATGCACAGTGTGATTATAGAATGGGTTTTAGTATTCCGATAGGGAGAATTTTGCGAAAGCCTATCCGAGAACGTATCCTGTCTACAAACTAAAGGTTCATCCATTTGTGACGATGAAAAACCTTTTATCCTTGATGGAAAGGTGGATTTGAAACCCATTTAATCAGTGAAGCGGTTTTTTTGTTTACTTCACACACTTTACAACACAAACATGAATGATTTTTCGATGAACTATTTCGTTTTGTGTATTTTCAGACGGCAGGCGACCATATACATGCTACCTGTGTTCTGATCGAACAACTTTCTCTGTGGCGGCCTGCCAATTACCTTTTCCGATGCTCAACTAAAAAGCAGCAGCAGTATTCAACTCTTTTTAGTATTTAAAGTTGAATAAAGCTTAAATAAAAAGCCTGTAAAATACAACTTATTTTTTACCCGTTCCATGTTATAGCTGTAATTTTAATAATTTGTAAATTTTGAAAATTTAGTGAATTTTTCGAAATTGCAAGAACTTCGTAAAAGTTCGATACTATTAAATATCTAACCTATTTCAACACAAAACAGAAAATAAACAAAAAAAAAACAACGTTCTATCACAGATTCATCCGAGATACGTACGTAATTCATCGCATTTAATCCACTGCATGATGCCGCCGGTCGCCAATCTGATGCAGGGAGTGGAAGACTTGACATTGAAAATGACTACGCGATAACCATATATTAAGCACGTCTTTTGGATTCTTTAGATCAGAATCATGAATCAGTACTATGAAAGTGAGACGGACTTCAAAGTGATCCCGTTAACTCTGAATAACAGGCAGAGGTTACATGCCCTTACTTCTCAAATAAACTACAACTTTTCAAGTTACTCGAAATCAGCCCTATAATGCGCAGTATAACTGGATGTACGACGAATCTTTAGCCTAGCCAGCTGGCTTGGTAATATATCACTCTGATGTATCGCCTTCTGTAAGCGTAATTACAGCGCTTTCTCGAATGCATTTTTTCAATGACTGGCTTTTCGCACGAAGTACGATACTATCATACGATAACGTATGTTCATTATTAGATAGTATATCATTGATAATATACTAAGCAATAATAATAACAGTGCTCTATATAGTCGCACTTCTGCTCTGTTGTTTTTAGTTGATAATTTTTTCGAAAATGAAACAACTATTGTGGATCCCTATGTATATATATGTGTGTGACTATGTAGAAGAGTAGACTGGTATACTTTTTTCCATCTCATAACAGCGGTCGTTGTCCGGTCAAAACGGTCGTCCATTATTCAAAAGAATCCAACTGTACCGCTGATCTATGTTATGTTAGATGTAGGAAACTTTTACTCTTTTTACGGATTCACTCTATAATTAGTTGCACGAGGCAAACTAAAATGATTTGTAACGGGTATGTGGAACAAATGCGACCAATATTGAACCTAAGAACAAAATCAACCAGAAGGTTTCTTCCTATAGCAAGTATAGTTTAGGATGCTGCCATGGAAGCATGTCAAACAAATAAACCGTGCAGCTTCACTAGATTTGATACACAAAACAAAACGAACAATCAGCACTCGCTGTGCTCAGCATCGCACGACCTCATTTCGGCTGTTAACTTCAAAATTCACTATTCACGACCTCGGCGGTTAAGAAATAATGAAATAGAGAGATCACTCGTTGAGTTCATTGGGTAAAACTATTTATGGGAATCACCTTTATATTTGTAGCGTTTTTACACAGCTAACCAACAGATCTTATATAGATTAGGCAATACAAGCCCAAATACTCATACATAGTTACACTTAGTTTTTATTTCAGCTGCTCTTTATCGGCTCCTGTGCAATATCTTAGAGGTTTTTTCCTCCTTTCGTAGCTATACGATAACATAATAGTAACAGAATTTATTGAAAATAGGAGGCGTGATCGAACGTTGTCACAATCCAATTCTGCTCCGTTCTTTCAAGATGTAAGGGGTTCAGAGTGTGATTGCAATAGTCAGCTTTTCAAGGAAGGTCTTCCATATACATATCGCTAATATGTACTCATGTGTCTAAAGCTGTTTCACGTAGTCATGTCACATATACAGAGTAACAGGTAGGGACCAGTTGGGGGAAGCGGGCAAAATGCTACTTGTGTTAGCTAAAACGAGGATCCGCACTTTTGTCTAAGCCAAGCAACAAGTAAAACTCTCGGCGTCAATATTCCTAAGCTATCGCCTAGCGATAGAATACGCCTGAAGTTGCCCGTTCGATAGTTTTCTGTCGAAGCAACTACTTTTTAGAAGTAGAAATCGCACGAATATTGTTATTACTCAGGGATTATATGCAATTTACTTTAACAATCCACAATCGAATAACATAGACTGAGCTTTTACAACTAGATAACGCATAATAACATCTGCGCATCGAAGCACACTTTGGTTCATCGCCCCCGTAACTTTGACACGATACACACACTGGACAATGGATTTAGAGCCGGCAAATTAATTAGTACAGTCGTAAAAAAGTACTCTGCCCTATAACGAATAGAAAGAATAACTTCGAATTCACTGTAACACAAGGGTGATTCGTACGTATTCACTGTTACCCTAAGAAATTCAAAACGAAGAGTTATGATTGTACGTCGTCGCATAGCTAGCTCTGCGTTTAGGCAGTATGTCACTGTTGGATTGGAACGTATATTACACCGTTTGGTAACCATTTACAGCGCTAAATATCCCATTAAAAAGCTAAACTGTTTGGTTTGCAAGCTGATTCGTTTATCTAATTAGTCCGGGCTATGTTCGGACAGGGCGGAGGGGTGGAAGTTGAGCCTTATCGTAGTGTTTGAGCTATTCAAGTGAAGCTGTTTGTTTCTTTCAATGCAACATTGCCTAATTACTTACTTAGTTTCTGCATTTAGCTAGCTAAAACAGAAGCAAAGTGGCTGCCGTTTTCCTTATTCAAAAGTACCGGCACGTTGCAAATCAAGGATTCTCGTTCATTCTGTCACAGCATAGCCATAACTGGACTAAGATGAGCGTTAATAAGAGGTGCCGGATTGAGAATTTTCAAGCTGAAACGTTATATTCCACAGCATTGTCAACCCGACATAACGTACAATATTCAATATAATTTATCTCGTGTCATGGCTTGTTTCGAATAGTCGAAAATAGGGCGCATGAATTGGTCAAAAGGATGATGGCCTCAAAGGTTAATTACAGACGAGCGAAACGCCCTTAGACCACTACTTTTCAAATTAGGCTTAAATTATGTTGGCCAGGTGTAACCACCCCGTGTAGATAACCTGCAGGGGTCCAACTGACCCCTTCTGCCGGGAGCGCTACCTATAGCAATGTTCAATGTACATCCTCCACCGTCGCAGTCATAACTGCGTCATGGATGAGACAAATCCTGAGCCAAGTTTATGTTTCACGCTAACTATCGAACAAATGATTAATTAGAAACCTAAATGCTAAAAAAAAGTACGACACAGTATATTGCTATTGACGGCAACGGTGTATTTCGTGCGAATTCAACTCAGGCTAACAGTCCCCTGCTCTATCGGAAAGTTCGAAATACAATAGGCCTTCAAAATCAGGACTTAAATGTTTCTAGTTTGAAGTTCTAGTGAAGAATTACAGTAGTGTACTGGAATTTAGGTGGACTCGGTGAACTCTAGAAAAACGCGAATCTAACATTTAAGTAAGGCAAGCTAGTTATGAGTAACTCGATCAGCCTTATTATTACTGATCCTTTGCATCCCGTCTTTTTCCTTCTTGG